GGGGCGGCTTTTGCCTGACTGCCCCAGGCTTGTCCCATACAGCTGCGTCCGTGGCAGACCACCGTGCTCCCGCCTGACCCCTGCCACAGGTGAAACCCCACCGCTTGTGGTCGCTGCACTGACAATTCAGATTGTATCCGGAACTGGTGCTCACCCTGCGTCCCTCCAACGCGCAGAGCTGCTGCACCAAATGGCGTAATTCCCAGTGCCTAGCCCGTTAGGAGCATCCAGCCGGGGGGCCTGGAGGCGCTGGCTGTGCCCCGTCAAACCCCTCTGGGTGGCCGTGAGGCCGACTGTCCTCTGGGCGCTTCCGTGATTCCAGACACAAGGATGGAGGAGCTCTCCCCAGCTCCCTGGACAAGCCGTTGGGGGATGGCCAAGCCCGCCGCATTGCTCACCGGAACCGGTTTGACTCGGACACATTCACCAGTTAAAGCACAGGAGATGCTCCTGGAGATCCAGACCTGGGAAGCATCTGCCAGCTGAGGGGCTTCAGGCACGGGAGGCGGGATGGGTGCAGGGGCAAGCCCGGGGCTCAGAGACCGAGGTGCTGTTGGTGGCCATGAAAGCGGGATTAATGCCTCCACGGGGGAAAACTGTGGGATGAAGGATATACAGCAGTATGGGCTCGACAGGAGAGGCAGTGCGTTAATTTCCTCAGAATAAAGAAGGGAATTATCTATGCTGGATTTCTGTCCACAACAGAAATGGATTCTCTTGTATTTTCAGCTTCACACATGGGTCCAATCGAAAACTCATTGAAGCCAAGAGGAATATTTCTATTGACTTCAATAGACTTTAGATCAGGGCCATAATGAGGCATAACACGATGCGACCAGATTCAACACTATGTAGGTCACCGACTTAGAAGAGCACTGCTTGCTGCTAATAGCAGATAATTCCCAGGCCCTCGCTGATGCCTTCCCGTTGCTTTCAGCTAGAACTAAGTCAAATTTGTATCTGGATAAAATGTCGATATTCTGGGCTTAGGCAGAAACCAGTAACCTGGCAAAAATACACAAATATATTTATTCATGACATGCAGTGTGGGTGAGTTTGGATCTGGAGATAGGTGCAGACAGGTGAAATTTGGATAACTAATGAACCTGAAAAAAACACTGATAAGTTGAAAAAAATTGAAAAAAATTGGGCAAAGTTAAAACCTGATTGCCCCCTG